CCGAGCGGGGCAGCGCGGGGGGACCCGCGCCCACGGGCGGGCGGGAGGGCGGCGGGGCTGCGGCCGCCGCGGGGAGGGCGAGAGGGGCTCGCAGCCCCCGCAGCCCCCGGCCCGGCTCCGCAACCCCGGCCCCGCCGCCGGCGCGCGGAAGAAGGGAGAGAAAGGACCTACTTTTGGGCAGTTTTCTCGCCCTCGCCTTGGATCTCATCGTGTCGGCGTGTGGATTCCTCTCCTCCTCCTTGAGCCCAGAAGCAGCTACACACTATCTTCATCTCCCCAGCATTGTCAGTTTGGACACCTTCGCACATGCGCACAGAGCATTCAATCTGACACCCTCACCAGGGCCAAAAAAACTTTCCAATGTATTCATCATCATCAGCCCGGTTTGGGCTTTTTTTTTTTTTTTTTGCCTTTTTTTTTTTTTTTCCTGTCCTATCCTCTTCCTCAGACCACTTATCTCTGCCCCCTCCTCTCTCCCAGCACCCATCACAGCCTTCCCCTGATCTGCCCCTTTAAGAAAAATCAGCCCTCTCCGCTCCTCACCCTCCGCACACTGACCTTACACACTGGACAATATTTAAGGATCAAGGTGCCATCCTATAAAGAGGTGATTATCATTATATTATTATTATTACTACTATTATTACTACTACTAAATAGCAATGCTGAAGAGAGTTTAACAGATGTCATCTTGCAATCGTAGTTTAGACATGCTTTTGTTTTTAGTCTGAAAAATATTTTTTTACCTAAACTTTTCAACCAGCGTCTGTCTTTATTTTCTTCCCCCCTTTTTTTTTTTTTTTTCCTTTTTTAACCCTTTTCTCCTTTCTCCCCCCCTTTGGCTCGGGGGGGGATTTCGCGTAACTTTAAGAATAATAACTTTTAAAATAACAGAATTTGCGCTGCTGTGTTTTGTCGGTATTCCTCGTGTTTCTACCAGAATGTTTCGGCGCTCGGCGGCTTCGCCCCTTCTCCCCCGCTCGGGTTGTCGGTGTTTGCGGGTGTTTCGACCCGGGCCGCGGCCCCCACGTCGGGAGGGGACGGGGAGGGAGGGCGGCCGCTCCCCTCCGCCTTCCAGGTGGAAGGAAAGCAGCGCGCCGGGGCAGCGCTCCCCAGGGACGGGGGAAGCAGGGAGACACCCGAGGAAAGGGGGGAGAGGAAGGACAGACACCCCCGGAGCGTCGGGGAGCCCCGCAGGACCTGCCCACCCCCCCGGAGCGGAGGTAGCGAGAGCCCGGGCAGAGCCGCTTTGAAGAGAGGAGCGAAGTGTAAATAGCCGGTGATTGATGTGCTGGCTTTGACTGCGGAGAAAGCACTATTTTAATTCAAGTGGCCAGGTCAGATGGTCACGGAAGAAGGTTGAAAGGTAGGATTTAATGAGATTAATATGGAGAGAGGGAGAAACGCGCGCCTTCCTAAACATGCCATAAAATATTGGGGCGAGGGGAACGCGGCGTCCCCGCTGGAGATGCGGACCCGTCCCGGGGAGATCCGGGAGCCCTGGCACCGGAGGGCACCGCAAAAACAAAGCAAAACTCGTGCGGGTGCGTCAGGTCCCTGCTGGAAGCCATTCCGCCAGCTGCACTCCTGCCCTGCAGGTGGAACATGGGGAGGGGGGGAATATTCCTGCTAATTACCGGTTTTCCCCTCCTCAATAAACTCCTTAATTGCAAATGGGAGCGGGGGCCTTTCAGATGCTACCGAGGAGCCGCGTTCGAGGGCAGGGTGGGGGAGCAGGAGGCCAAATAAAATAAATCCGTTTGAAGGGAACTTGGAGCCACGTGTCGCCTAAAATGCCGAAGCGGTGCCTGTGAATTCCTGCCTCGAGGACGCCGTTCCACGGCGCGGCGGGCACCCCGAGGTTGGAAAAACAAGCTCTTCCCAGCCTCACCGGTGAAACAGGAGCTCGAATGTTTCCAACTCATTGAGATATTTCTTCCAGCGCTCCCGGACGCTCACTTGTCCCCGCGTCCCCCACCGAGCTGCTCCCGGGACGGACGGATTTCAGTTTGAAAACGTCTTCCCGGGTTATTTGTCCCTGTTATTACAGCGGTCTTCTGGCAGAAGACCGAGTAAAGCCGGGAGACCCACGGCTGGCGAGGGGAGAAGGTCCCGGTCGCCGCATCCCCTTCCCCGAGCCGGGGGACGAAGGGCACGGAGGGCCCGCAGCCCCGGGCCGGGACCGCGGCCGTGCCCCCCCCGCAGCCCCGGCCCGGTACAACCCCTGCTTTTGTTTTCTTGCCAAACCCTCCTGCATCCCCAGCATCCCGATTCCCCCGGGAATCAGCTCCTGCGGTAAATAGCCAAGCTCCAGCGGACCCGCTCGCAGATATTTAGGGAGACGCAAAACGCTTTTGGGGGAGCACGAGGGGTGTGGGGGGGCTCGAGAGTGGTTTTGGTGATGCTTCTGCCAACGAAGCCACCGAGAAGCGGCCCCGCCGGGTCTGTCCGAGCCGCTGCGGCCGTTCCTGCCGGGCTGGAGCGGGGCTCCCGTGGCCACCGAGCGAGGCCGGGCTGAGCTGCGCTTCGCCGGGCCGGGAAAGGGGGAAAACGGAGGGGGGGGGGAAAAAAACCCTAAAATAAAAATGCGTGGGGAAAAAAGGGGGGGAAAATTAGAGAACGAATTCTGAAGGGCCGGTGCCGGGGTGTGCCGGCGGTGGGCTGCGGAGTGTGGGGGAGAGGACACGCTGCCACCCCCCACACGAGTGGGGTCCCCTCCCGCACCAGGCACAGGCGGGTGATTGCGGTTCAACCCCCGGGAACGGGCCCCGTTTCCCCTGCTCGCTTTAAGCCAAAACATCTCGAGAGGCTGCAGGGCCGCTGGCGAGGGCAGGGGCCGGGGTGCTCCGGGGACGGCGTGTCCTCAGGACACGCTCCTGTGCCCACCGAGGGTTGTTCCTCGTTACATCCCGGCACTGAGACCCCCGGGAAAGGAGAGGAGCTCCTGGGGTTCAGCAAACCCCCGAGCGAGGTGTGCGGCCCGGGCAGGGAGAGCCTCGCAGCCCCCCGGGAACCCCCGAAGTCCCCCCGTCCCACCCGGTGAGCATCCCGCGGCGGCCACCGGCTTTTCCAGCCTGCACCTGTTCGAGTGCGTGTCGCTTCCACGGGGAACAGCAAACTAATTAGCGGGGAGGGAGGGAGAAGTGCCAGGAAGCTTCTCGGCTCTCCCGGGTCAGGCCGGGTGGCTGCCAAGGAGCCGGGGCCCTGCCCGGCCTGGAGACACGCGTGCTCCGCCACTTCCCGAGGAACTCTGCCCACAGCAGGGCCTGGGGCACCCCGGGGGTGGCTGAAGGGAAAAACGATTCCCTCTGAGGTGGCCGAATTTCCACCGAGCCTTAATAACTGTCTCTTCCAGGGACAGCAGCAGCCATGCCCCTCTGCACCACACGCGTGGCAGGGGACAGGGACCCGCAGTGCCCCAAGGGTGGCACGGCCCGGGGTGAGGATGGGGGGTCTGGGGACACAAGCGAGCGAGCGGTACCGAAACGCGCCTGTTGAGAGTTTATCCCCTCCGCCCTCGCCCCTCTTTGTGTCTCCATCCCGCTCCACTCCCCACTAATGGACATTTCAGCCCGCGGTCCCCGCAGCTCTGGGGAGGGGGGCGTTGGAGCGGCGGGAATTTATGGGTGGGTTCCCTGGCATCACCACTACAAGCCATGTGTTCCCAGGTACTTTACAAGGCCGGCTTGGAACCCGCTCTCCAGGTGAAGCGCTGCGTGGCAGCCGCCCGGCTCGGCTCCCTTCGGGGCCCTCCCGGGAGTGCCGGGCTCGGGTGGGCACCCACGGACAGCGGGGGCACGGGAGAGGGGAAAGGCGCTTTGCGAGCTGTTTCGCACAAGTGTTTTTTAAGCAGTAAAGAAGATTAGAATGGTTGCGCTAGTCCGGCTTGTCCGGGAGCTGCCGCACACCCCGAGTAACCCCTTCCCAAGGATTTTCGCATAAATAATTCTTTGTTCCCGCGCACGGCTGCGGCGGGATTAAATCAAGAATTAATATTTTCAACTACGCAAGAGCCCGGTGGCACAGGACGGGGCTGCGCTCCGCGGGGTCAGCGAGCCCCGCGCAGATCAGGCGGTAAGAATGTCACACGCTTCCCGAGGGATTTTCCCTCCTAATCTGCCCTCAATAAGCGGAGGAAGCGCACCCACGGGGGGACGAGGGGCTGCCTCGCACCCACGCCGTGGAGCAGCGTGCCGCTCCCCCCCCGCCGCCAGGGAATTCCGGCACCTTTGGGACGCGGTCCCTGCGTGGAGCCGGCGCAAGGGGGCGGTTCAGGACAGGCGGGAGCCCCGGGGGTCCGGGGGGAGCCCCCGCCGAGCATCCTCCGCCCCGGGGACACTCGGTTTGCCTTCCCAGCAGCGGCTCTGCTGGAGGCCGGGCCGAGGCGAAAAACATAAACCGACAAAATTAAAAACTCTCCAAGGGTGGCTGCGGCCCCCCCGCGCTGAGGGTCCCCCCGTTGCCGGGCTCACACCCACTCCACACGCAGGTGGAAGGTGACCGAGGCTCAGTGCCAGAGCCACATCCTCCACCCGCCAGACCCCGGCAGGTCCTTTCCTGAACTGACCTATTTACACGTTCGTTGGTTTAAATCAGTATTTTACCCGAAAACCTTTGAGAAGCGCCGGAACAAGCACCACCGAGAAAGACAAAAATGGCTGCATTTTGTTCGGGGGGGGGAAGAAGAAATTAAATCACTCTTTCTGGTCCTCTTAGCGATGAAATACAGAGGGGAAAGGTTAATATCGCTGCAGAACCTGTGCCTGCACGTCACTGTCCTGTACCTCACTGCTCTGATATTCCCCTGCACTGAAACCAGGCTGTGCATCAAAATGAGGTTGACTATTTTTTTTTCCCCTTATTTCTAGAAGAAATCGCTGGCTCCTCCGGCCATGAAAAAACACCGTGTAAATTGCCATTTCAGATTTTTCAAAAAACATGTTCAGCTCTAAGAATTCTTCCGAATTCGTTACACTCCGCCGCGCGAGGCTGCGCCTTGATGGCCCCGGCGAAGGTAAAAATGCACGTCGTAAAATAAGTCTTAAAAAAAAAAAAGAAAAGTACCATTTACATTTGAATATCTAACTTGAACAGGATTATAATTACAATCGTCAGAGATCGAGCAATGTTGTCTCCAAAACGGCAGCCCACGAACAGACAGTTTCGGGGATGTAAACACAGCAGATTTAATCGTGACGGTCTCCGGGAATGAAGGGAAATTAAGGAGTTATAGCAATTTTTTTAGACGTTTGATCAAAATATTTTTGCCCGGAGATCACTTGCCAAATGAAAGCAAAATGGAAACGATGGGCGCTGTAATTCGGCAGTTTTGTCATGGAAAGAGCTCAAGATCCCGGTCTCTCAGGGCGGGGGGTTCTGCTTCGCCTGGGGCTTTGGGGAAGGTTCTCTGCCTGCGGGAGGGGACCCTGGGAAACAAATATTGGGGAAGTAAATTTCGATCAAGCGTTTTTCAGCCGAAATGCCGTATACTGAAGGCACTAAAACGATCCAGGTTCGCCTTTTCCCTCGGAATTAACAGAACTCCCCTAATTTAAAGCTTCCAGCGAGCTGCAGCACCCGGCGGGGTTGGGGTACATCAATCCTCTCGCGGCACCGGCACAGGGGCTCCCTTGGCCGGGGGGACCCTCCCTCCCCCGGAGCCAGGCCCGCTGCACATTACTGGTTGTAATTAAGTGTTCTGGGGGCAGAGTGCGGGGGTGTGAGCGAACCGCAGCCCCCCCCCCAGTGCCATTTGCTGTCCTGCCAGAGACAGGATCGGAGCCCTGGGGGTGAATCCCCTCCCCGGGGGATCCCCCGGGAGATGCCCCCTCTCTCCCCTGTCCCCCCGCTGCCTGGGATCGGTCCCCGAAGCGCAGAGCGATGCTGCCCTAACCCGACGGGGGGGACACTCGAGGCGGTCCCGCTTCTCCCCCGGGCACGGCCGGCCCGGGGTGCGGAGCCCCCGCCGCGGAGGGTGCGGGGCCGGGGGTGCGGAGCCCCCGCGGGTTACGGGCCGGCTTTGTTTGCGCTTCCCCGGCTAAGGACGGCCGGGGCGGAGCTGCCCGGATAATTATTAGCTATTAATTGAGTTCAAGACCTTTTATGGCGATGGGAAATGAGGAGCCCGACCACTAATCCCGAGGAGGGGCTGCGCGCAGCCAAGAGCCGCGAACGCGCCGTCCAGGGCTGGCCCGACACAATGTCCCGGGGGCGGGGGGGGGAGAGGAACGAAAAAATTCATTAGGTGAAAATTACAGCAACTTTAAACGGAGGGATTTATTTAGGAGACACCTTTGGGAGCTGCCGCCGAGAGCGGGGGGAGAGGGGTGAGAGCCCCCGGCGCTGCCCGACGGGGCGGATCCAGGGCTGCCCCGGGCAAGGTGAGGAGCGACAACCCGGCCTCCCCCCCCGGGCCCCCAGGGAGCAGCGGGGCTGCTCTTACCGATTCCGTTTCCTTATCTTTACACGCTTCCACCTTCCAATTAAACTTCCCCAAATTGCCAAAAGCCTGATTTGCATGCAAGGGACCCCGCTCAAAGATGCTAACTTATTGTCTCCTCCCAGAACTTAACATTTCTCTCTTCAGTTCCCACTTGAAAGAAGTTTTAGAACAGTATTCAAAGACTGTCCAAACGAACAAAACCTTCCCCTTCGCTCGGGAGAGAAATCCGGTGTATTCAATACGAGGGCATATTCTCAAAAGTTTGCAGATTTGGGTTTAAAGGCGGTATTGTTCGTGCCTTTTTCCTGAAACTTCTTTATTTTTTCCCCCTCAGCGCGCGGCTCACATGCCTGCAAAGGATTATTAAAATAAAACATCATAGAGCATTTTTTCCTTTTTTTTTTTTTTTCTACTGTTTAGAATTACTTTTCTGGAAGAGCTTTCCAAGCATCCCCCCCACCCCGCAAGTCATAATTAAGAACACTTTTTTCTAACAAACAGGAAAAGTAAAGAATCAAACCGTTCCCCCAGTACGCCTTTTTTCTTTAAACACTAACAGAGTTCTAAAGCCGGAAATATTTATCTGTTCCAAATACACCTGAAAAACCTCTCGGTGCTGGATAAACGCTGCTCTTCTGCAGCGGAAGGAATTAAAACGGCGAGATTTTGATACCAGGAGGATCCCTAAACGCGAACCTCAATTCTTACTGGGTTTGCAAAACCTGTTTACAAGGCGACATGATCTCTGCCTTCGAACACCCCCTCACACACACACGCCCTCGCTGTTGTCTTTTTAGGATTAAAAGAAGATGATCCAATGGGCTAAGGATGTAAAAGTCCTTTTGGGAACGCGATAAACTGCAAAAAACCAGTGGCAACTCATTTCTGATTAACTCCTTTCTACGAAGGGGCGGAATGGAAGCGAACAGGGACCCGACGGGACACGAACATATTTTATTCATTTAATACAAAGCAGCTTTAACAAAAAAAAAAAAAAATCTTTAAGAAGGCAGTTCAGAGCATAACTCACGGGCCGGGGGGGAAGGCAAAAACCTGATGGGGTGTGAGGTGATGTCGCCGTCATCCCTCGCTCCCGGGAGAGCGGGCAGCGCTCCGGGCAGCGGGAGGGACGCGCTCCCCGGGCTGCGGCCGCACCGCCGGGGCTGGGGGGGGACACACAGCCCCGGACCCCCGGTCAGCTCCAGGGGGGGCAGCCCCTTTGCTGGGGACCCCCCCAGCAGGACCCCGGCTCTCCTCGCTCCCCTTAAAGGCGGAATCAATGAAATCATGTAAGTGCCCGGAGCACAAAGAGCTCCTGTCCTCGGCTCTGCAGATCATAACCAGAGATGGGAAAGTATTTACAGCACCCTCCGAGTGACTGGGCCATCGCTACCAAAAAAATAATATTTTTAACCACAGGGAACCGAGAGTTCACGTAGATTTACAAATTAATGAGGACTTACTGGAGAAAGTAACTGCAAGAACATGTGTTAAAACGCAACAGAAAGAATTCCATCGATTTCCATGAGAGGTGGACTGCATCCAGGAAGAATGAGTCAACTTCATTCCTTGGGTAAAACTCACGAACTGAAGAGAATTACTCCAGGCATGCATTTGGATCACCCCGTGTCCCCCCATTTCATGTACTGCCGTGCCACTAACTACCTCTTAAATGTTGTCATGGGTTAGAATGGGGTGGGGATTCCTCTAAAGGATGCTTTTAATCACTGGAAATCGATGTTTGAACAAATATATTTCCCCCCCCCCCCCCCCCCAATATCACACCAGTCTCAAGTAACTGCTCAGCCAAAAAGGCTCTCACAAGACAGCACAGTGCAGTGCAGGACAGAACAGCTCAGGGCACCAGGAGGAACAGAGTCTTTCACACATCACAGGGACTCACTCCTGTGTTCTGGTTCTTTGTCCTGCTACTAAATCTCGTTTCTCCTCTCCCCACAATTTGAGTGTTAAACTGGGCAAGGTTTTGGTTTCGTTTCCGTGGAGGAGGTGAAAACTCTTGAAACCACTGAGAAGTTTCCTCCCCGGCTCCACTCCCCTGCTGCAGGGAGATGCTGCTCCCCTCAGAGGAACGAGCAGCACCTTTAACAGAGAGAGAAACCCTTCTCCAGTCACACATGCACATTGCCTGTGTTTTATTTTACAGGTGGAAGAATGAAATACCCATTAATTTAAGAGATTTGGGCTGAAACCTCAGAACACTGTGATGGGAGCAATGAGGAGACAAACACTGACACACTCTCAGAGTTTTGCTCTTTGCCTTCAGAAGCCCCAAGTTCCACAGAGACCCTCCCATAACTTCTGTTAACACACAGAGGGCATGTCAAACATTTAGAAACAAGGTCATCAGGCTTCTCAGCCTTACTGGTGGCTTTTTAGCCCACAGATTTCCCACATGAGAGCTCGTGGCAGCCCCACAGGAACGTCACAGGTTTGTTGTTGAAAATAAGTGAGGTGCAGCTCGTGATAAGATAATCAATGAACAGTTAAAAACCAAGCTCCAAAGACATGGTTAGAAAATTAAATGCAAATATATACAAACTAGTCAATGGTTTCTATGAACATAAATGTCTGTCTACCTCATGACTGCTATTTTCCAGCCAGTTTTCCAACCAGTGCAGTCCTTGCACTTCTCTATCTACAATTGTACCATTTATAAGCCAGGAGCCCACCTCACCCATGTGCTTGTTCCTACAGTGACTCATGTTCCATTGGGTTTATTCCTGTGAAGACTTGTGCTGAACCAGAGGAAAGAGCAGAACCTTTGGGGAAGGAATGGCACGGTTTGGAAAGCATCAGACACACTCACTGCTCCCTGTCAGAAAATGAAAGCTCTGGTTTACATCTCATGTGAGAAAATGGCCTTAAAAATAAAATATTACTTTGATAACTGGGTCAAAAGTCTTGCTGAACAATACTGGGACGGGTTGCCCAGAGAAGCTGTGGCTGCCCCATCCCTGGAAGTGTCCAAGGCCAAGTTGGACTGGGCTTGGAGTAACTTGGGCTAGTGGAAGGTGTCCGCTAGCCCATGGCAGGATGAGCTTTAAGGTCCTTCCCAACCCAAACCATTCTGTGATTCCATTCTGCTAATAGAAGGAAATAAAAGGATGAAGTGTTTTACACAAAAGCAGCACAGCAAGCTGCAAACTTGAGTCTATTTGACAGGAAGGGACATCTTATTTTTTCAGCCTTCCCCTCAGAATCATGTCCCACTCATTCACTGTGCTCAAGGTGCCCACTTAATGCTGGAAGAGCAGCTTCTAGACTCAGTGGAGAAAGGAGAGAGGAGCAGAGTGTGCTACAGGTACAAGGAGGTTACTCACATCCTCAGAGCCACAACAAAGCTGTGCAGGATGATTGGGAAGAGCTCCTGCTCTGAGAACAAGTCACTTTTGAATTTGCCAAAGAAGAGCAAAGAACAGAGGGCTCGGGCACCTCACACCAACCCAACCCAGCAGATGCTCTGGCTCTGAGCCCTGGGCTCACACAGGTTGTTCTCAGACAGAGAGCCTGTGCACACACACTGCCACCAGCTCCAAAAATCTCTGGGTGACTCAACATCCCCCTCAGAGCACAGCAGCACTGGTTCCTGACGGACACCTCCCCATGGTCTCACCCCAGATTCTCTCAGTGCCCTCAAACAGATACATCAGGAGTTGCTCCACTGCCACTCAGCTGCAGTTTTGCTCCTTCAGTACAAATGAGATGGGGAAATAGTTTCATTTCTCTGAAGTATAAAGTTAAATAGAGTGAACTGAGAAGTTTCTTGAAAAATAATGGAGTGAGATCATCCATACAATGATTTAAATATGTTAAGGAAAGCCCTGTCTGATCATCCAGGAGCTGCTCTGGCAGCCACACTCCCACCACCAGAGACTTTCCCTGTTGGGACTGAAGCCCTTCCCAGCAGAAATCAAGAGCTGTGTTGTCAGTGGTGTCATTCACCAGGACACTGCTGGTTCCCCCCACCCTTAAACACACACAAACTCACATTAAACTGTTCATTTGCTTATCACTCAGGTTGCTGGAAAGCCATAGTTCTGACAGTTACACCAGACATTTTCTCACTGTTCATATATGCTGATATCACACGAGGAAATTCTGGATTCTTCTGTACAAATAATAAATTTATCATACCCACGGTACATATCTGGAAAATACTCAGACAGCCTTAGTCATATAAACTGTCCCAAGCTCACAGAAGTAAGAGATGATCTATTAAAGAATAACCAAAACCCAGGACACATCATCCAAGAACTGAATCACAACTCACAAAGTTATTCAATGGGTAAACCCAATATTTTTGTCACTCAAGTGGTTGCATTTTGTCAAGAAAAAAAAAATCTCAATACAAGAATTTTATTCTGGTAGGATGAGAAAAATGCTAAACATGTTTTTATGGGAGAAACAGAGATAGAGCACTGGCTTGAAAACTGAAAATCTCTCATGCCCTGATCTATAAATAAAACTTGTTGGGTTTTTCTTTTGTACTAAATTTAAAGGAAAGCCTTTTCCATGGAGAGTTTTCTTTAAAGCAGACTGTGCCCCAAAAGGACTTTAACGATGGTGTTTCCAGCAAGCAGCATGAATGAATTAAACAATAAATGCAGGCAGGAGCAGTTGTGTGTTCCTTTACCAGGAGCAGATGGATGTGCAGTTCAAACACAGGGTTCTCACAAGAGGACGGTTCCAGACAGTTCTCACCCACACCACAACCACAGTTTTCCTTCCCCCTCTGCTCCAGGGCCTGGGCTCAGGTACCATTTGCCCTCCAGCATCACAAAGAGCTCCAAGGTTGGCACCAGTGACCATCAAGCAGAAATCCCACATTTTGTTACACACAAACCATCCAATTATTGATTTCTTCTACCTGTTTATCCACAGGCTGCAGGGGAAGAGGTGAGGAGAGAGACTCAGCCCTCCTTGGCACTCTCAGGTCAGCTCCATCCTCAGCACAGAGCAGCCACAGCTTCACTGCTCATCTTCACACAACTCCTGCCCTTCACAGATAAACCTCAAGACCCTCTGGAATTACTCAGCCTGGAAGCCCCCAGGGTCTCTCCCCTCCTCACAAAAATCTCACAGTCACCTCCCTGGAGCCACAAGTTTCAGATGAGTTAACTGTGATGTATCCCAAAGGCTCTGTACTTCATACTCATTAATATTCATTATATTTCCAATGCCTAAAATCTCCTATTTGAGGTAACTGTAAGTTTTGTAAGTACAAAGACTGAATTTCCCCCTCCACACTCTGCAAACCCTCGAACCGTCCCGTCATTAGACCTGCTGATATTTCTGCTTCCAGAGGAGAGAAGGAACACTGAAAAGAAAGAAAAAAATTAAAAAGAGTCTTTCCCAGCAAATTCTGATGTATAGGATGTGACATAATGGTGCAAAAACTTCTGGCAAAACCCAGGGATTTTAAATTGCTCTGCTCGATTTTGCTGTGGTGGGAGGTTTAATGTGCTGCACTTTGCCTCCAACTCACGCGGCAGAGCAGGCACTCACCTCGAGTGTGGGACAGGCAGGGAGAAAACAATTTTCCAGGCAGAAATATATTGAGTTCAGAACACTGTTTATAGGTTACAGTAAACAGAAGTGTTTGATGTAATGGGGCTCTCTGGCTACCAGGGAACCTTCACGGGGCCCCCGCGCCGGAGGGAGGTGGCGGTGATGAGGTGGCAGGTACACGCTGCAGGGAGGTGAGAGGGGACACAACTTGATTTCCCTTCTTACAGAACAATTTGCTGGGCTCTCTGTATTTCCCTGGGCCCTGTCAGGGCAGGAACAGCTCTCTGAGGCACAGGCAGGGCTGTCCCCCCGCGTGGGGCTCCGGGAGGTGATGGGGTTCGGGTCCCACCTCTTCACAGAGGGGGGTTCTGCAGCCTTGGCTCCTTCAGCAGGAGCTGAGTGGCCACAGGGAGCTGCGGGTTGGGAAGTGGTAGCTTGAGTGTGATCCCCTCTTAAATCCCCCCCATAAATAAAGCAGTGAATTCAAGGGGGCTGTTCCCCTGCAGGATGCTCCTCAGGAGAGGGTAGAAGGTTCTCCGTGAGAAATAACTTTGTTATATGACCATGGTGTCCTTAATGTGACCTCATTTGCTTTATTCCCTGTGCCTTGGTGCTGGGCAGATGCTCCTGCCATGATTTGCTTTTGAAGCATCTTCCCTGAGCACCTTCATCCCCTCACAGTCCCCTGCAACCCGGCCTCTGCAGAACCTTCAAACCCCATGGAACATCTTCCAGGAGGAATTTCCTCTCAGAAGGGATTCTCAGGCACTGGAAGGGGCTGCCCAGGGAGGTTTGGAGTTGAGCCAGGCATTTACTTCCACCTGTCTCTCTTTGGTAAAACAGTGGCAAGACTTTTTAATTTCTTGTGCCCTGTGTGTGAAGCTCCACGGGAGGTTCTGCAGGGTTGGAGACCCCTCAGCAGGTTCCCAACGTGCTTCCTCCTCCCTGGGGAGCTGCTCACCCCCACCAGCCCTGGGCTAACTTGGTCATCAGGACACAGGGGTAAGGAGGGGGCCCAGGAATCCTGCTGACAGACCTCTCCTGCCTGTTTGGAGCTGGCTGGGGTGCCCGTGCCCAGCGTGGCATGGGGGGTCCAGACGTGCCACCAGCACAGGGACAACCCCTCCACCCTCCTCCCTGGGTGCCCTGAGCAGCCTCAGCTCCTGCCAGCTATTACTGCAGCCACGGATCCACTACCCTCAGAGAAATCAGAATCAATTTAGGCACCTAATCCTGGGATGTCTGGGGGTGAATTGGTTTGGAATTAATGGAGTAAAAGAAGGCAGTGAAAGCCCCTGGAACACGCTGGGCTGGGAGCGGCGGCAGCCCCGGGGAGGGAGCGACAATGCACATTTTGCACCGTGAATTTTTTATTAAGGGTTGGTTTTTTTTTTTTTATTTTTTATTATTGAATATTAATATTTTACACGTCCAAGCTCAGAACAATGCTTTTTTTGGCTGGCTCTGCACTTTTCATGGTTGTGTACCCTTGCATTGCATAACTGAGAGAGATCCATTTACACACAGGGGGAAAGGGGACTAATGAATCTCAGCAAAGCTAACTTTACTGTGTGTGAAAAAACAGCACTCTGAAGTTTTCCAAATAAAAAAATATACATACATAAAATACTTGCATGGAATGGCTTAATAAAATCAGTGTGTGTGTGTGTGTGGGTGCACGTGTGGGTCTGTGTGTAATGACTCCCTCACCCAGAGCTGCAGCTCGCTCCACATGAGGACATCTCCACCTGGAAAAGCTCTGGAAAGTTCTTCCCTCTTCCATATCAAACCCCTCGTAGCTACTCACCTGATGTGTCCAAAGCTGAGAAATGGAGGTGGAGCTTCCAGGCACTCAGTAAATCCTCGGGTGGAGCTGCTCACACTCAGTGCAGGGCTGGTATTTACCTGTTCCTGGTAACACCTTTATCCTTTCAGGTCATTCCTGAATGTCCCAGAGGTTGTTTCTGGCTGTCCTCGCACAGACCCTCTGGTCCCATCCCTGGGAACATCCAAGAGCAGGTTGGACAGGACTCTGAGCATCGCAGGGAGATTGGATTAGGTGGCCTTTAAACCTCCCTTCCCACCCACACCATTCCATGATTCTTTGATCCTCAGGCATCCCAGGCTGTCCACTGGTCTTTGGGACAGGCACAGCTCCATCTCTGGGCATCTTTGGCAGGTGCCAGTCTGCCCTGAGCAGCTGCTGGGTGTGTCAGTGCCAGGCTGCCTGGCATCGCCTCGTTCTGCCCAGGGATGGGGGAGAAACACCTGATTTACCTGGATAATTCCCACCTGACCCTGCTGGCTGGACCTGGCGTTTCTGAGCTCCCTGTTCTGTGTTCTGGAGAGCTCACAGCCAAAAGTGGGCAGGGTGACAGGAACCACATTGTTTGGGGTAATCAGTGTGCATTGTCCCGGGCTGACACTCCCCAGTGCCAACAAAGCCTTTAAATTCACAGGGAATGGGCAAAGTGGAAAATGATGAATTGTTTGACATTTAAAAGAAAATAAAGAGCTGCTGCTGGATTGAAACTTAACTGGAACTTTGGGAGGGAGGGAAAAAATTCCCGGGTTCTGGCAGGGAGAGAGTTAATTTTCCTCCCGGTAGCTGCTGTGGGGCTGTTTCAGATTTGTGCTGGAAAGAGTGTTGATAACACAGGGATGTTTTCATTATTGCTGAGTGGGTTTTACACAGAGCCAAGGCCTTCCCTGCTCCTCACTGCACCCCAGCAGCAGTGGAGTGGGGGGCACAAGGAGCTGGGAGGGGACTCAGCAGGGACAGGTGACCCCAACTGACCCAAGGGATATTCCAGACCATGTGACACCACGGTCAGCATGGAAAGCTGGGGGAGAAGAAGGAAGGGGGGATGTTCTGGGTGATGGCATTTGGCTCCCACTCTCTAATCCCTGCAGCCAGTGCTCTGCTCACCTGACCAGTGCTGCTTTCCTGAGCCTGGAAGGATCCCAGAGTCACAGAATGATAGCTGGGGTTGGAAAGGACCTCTGGAGATCACCCAGCTCAGCCCAAGGCAGGTGACACAGGAACACATCCAGGTGGGTTTGGAATGTCTCCAGAGAGGGAGATTCCATGCCCTCCCTGGGCAAATTCACAATTTAGATCCTCGGTGTATCCCGAGCACAGGGAGAGCACAGGTGGAAACACATCCAAGGAAGGACTCCTGCAGCTCATTTCCTGTGGGGGCTGAGGGAATAAGGTCCCAAATGAGTGGGACCTCAGAGCCTTCACAGCAGAAATGAACTATAACTGAGGGAATGACTTTCCAGTGCCCTGTGCAGCCATGGCAACACAAGGTGACCAGGAGGCTGAAACAAGGTTGGAGTCAAGGAACATGTGCCAGCTCCTGCTATCTCCTGGTGTGTCCTTGAGCAAAGTCGTGCCTGGATGGGAACAGCCCAGGCTGGGGGTGCTGCAGGCCTGGAGTGAGGGGCTGTGAAGGAGCCTCAGCTGGGAGGAGCTGAACCAGTTCCTCCATGTAAGAGGAGTTTGGTACCAATGAACCCATCCAGGAGCACATCAGGCCATATCCTGCTCTGTGAGGGTGAAATCTCACTAAAAGCACCCGGGGGGCTCTGCTGGCTGTGGCTGTGTGAGCACAGTTTGTGTCTCACTGGGTCTGCAGAGCTCTCCTGCTCTTCCCCTTCTCTCCCTCCTGACAGCACCCTTGGGTTGCACCATTCCCCTCACTCAGGTCCCCTCTGCTTTCCAGCACGGTTTTTCGCATTTTTATTTTGCATCAGATTTTTTTTGTGCCCTTTTTTGTTGTTTTTGTTTTATTTGCATTAGATTATTGGAGCAGGAGTCCAAACACTTCAGCCACTGCAAATCCCTCCTTGCACAGAACTCGGTGAGCTGTGAAATATTTAAACTGTCCACAGTTGTACCTTGTTTGTTTACCCATTTCCAGAGGGCTGTTAAAAGGTGACATTCTGGAGGAGCAGAAAGACCCCAGATTGCTGATTCTGATCTCACAACAGCTCTGAAGTGCTCTGAATACCTGCCTTAAGTTGATGGAGGAATATGGATCTCAGCTTTGTGGAGCCTCTGGAGCAGGAAAGCCTCGTGCTTTTCTCCAGCTCTTTGTTTTGTGCTTTCACTCTGCTCAGGGGGAAAAGGAGGCTTGGTGGGTCCTGTGGAGTCGTGCTCACATAGTCCGCCTGGTCCCTCCAGCCTGGTGAACCTTCCCCTCGCCCTGCCCGGGGAGAGCTCGGGGCTCGGAGGGTTCTGTGCCTCCTTCAGAGCACTTGGGAACGTCTCGTAGGAAATCAAAAGCGCTGTGATGCTTCCGCAGGCAGAGGGAGGAGGTGACAGGTGACTGCTCGGTCCCAAGGCAGCAGAGGGCATCCCTGAGTTTGGAGAGTCCCCTCCGGGGCTGAGCGAGCACAGCCAGCCCGGAGCGAGGGGTTAACGAGCCACATTTCAGCTCCGCTCCTCTTTGCCTGTCAGTCCTGAACAGATCCAAGAAGCTCCCAAATGTATCTTCAGGGTCCTTTTTTTCCCAGCAGTTTTTGAACAATGTGTAAATCCCAGTGCAAATCCCTTTCCCGAATTAGGGGGGAATTTCTCCTGACTGGGAGCAGTGCAAGCACTTGCAGGTGGATAAAGATGAGCCCTGTAAATAGAGAGTTTTTGAGGTGTTTGTTTGAATGCAGACTTCATTGCTGAAAATTCACACCTTTGTCATGAATTTCATAGTTCACTTTGGCAATCCAATCCCAGAGTCAGGGTATTTACACTGGTGGGATTATTTATAAACATCGAGCTCAGCAAGGCAGATTTGTTTAGGAATTCCAGCAAAAGTTTGCAGGATCATCCCTTTCCCCAGGGCTCAGTGAGGAGGCAGAGGGATAACACTTTCTCCTAATGGATTCAGCTTTTCCCAAAGAGGATCCATGCCAGCTCAGGACCAATCCCTCAGATGCCTGACACCAAAACAGTCACTCAGGGGTACTCTAAAAATCCACCCAAACCAGACACCTTTCACCTTGTGCTCTCTAATTTACTAACTTTAATGAACATTCTATTATCTAAACTTAGTCTCACATAGTCCCTCTGCTGGAATATTGGTGGAACCCCACGGATGGACAAACAGAGGGGATGTTTTATGGGATGTGACACAGCAAATCCCACCAATAGCACAGAGATCTTCTGGGGGTCAGAACTCTACCTTAACAACCACATCAACTTTTTTCCTGTGCAAAAAACAACTGCAGAAGTCCAGCCCCCCTGGGCTCCTCCAGGAGACCTCCAGGGCCGTGGGGAAGGGTCAGCAGCCCCTGGTTCCCCCTCAGAGGGCTCTTTGCCCTCCCTGGCAGTTTACAGGGAGTGGCACAGAGCCAGTCCCCGCGGGCACAGGAGTGCAGGGGCTCCTTCTCAAGTGTTTAAAAGTCTGACAAACTGTTTGCAGTTCTAGCAGGGATCAACACATTTCTAGAATTAAAACCAACATCTTGGATGGCAAAAATGCTCTGAACAAGGACTCTTTCTTCAACCCAATGCACAAGGGAGCTTTCTTTACTAAGCTATAAAATCACTTACTATAAATCAATTATTTTTGTACTGATTTATTAACTGCTCTCCAGCTGTTCAGATTGGCACTTAAAAAAAAAATCCTGGATGGTCCCACCAAAATGTTCAAAAGCATTTTCTCAGGAGTACTGTTGGTCCAACCTCATTATAGTCTCCCCTGGTAATCCACATATTCCTAAATGCTCTTAAGCTGCCAAGCATGGAAGCACCAATCCACAGGGAGCACATCCAGCCTGGACATGAGTTGTGCTGGGAACTCCTGCCAGGAGCTTCTTCAGCAGCCTCTCCTTGAAACCTTGGGAAAGGGTCAATCTGCCCAATTTGAGCAGGTTCCTGGGGATGTTGGACTTGGATGTTGGATCTGCTCACAACACTGGGCTGTTCCTCCCAACCCCTGGCTCTGGGATTTCTGCCTCTGTGGGCACTTCAGGAGCTGGGAATATCTGCCCTCCTGCCTTGACAGCCCCTCCATCAGGGAGAATGTGCTCACACACAAGCTTTTCAGGCTTTTCCTGTATATTTTGGCAGGGATCTAAGGCAGTAGAGCACAGCTTCTCCTGTACATCCCTGTGGGCACTTGCACAGAGGGACGGGGGCACCTGCAGAGCAGGGACAGGGCACCCAGACACACCCAAACACCTCCTCACCCTCCTGTTCCTGATGGCACAAAGCACTGAGGGGGTCTGGCTCAGCAGGGCTGGCCTCTCACTCACCTTCATTCTGAGTTCTTGCTCATACAGGTGCCTCCAAACCTTCTCCATGTCATCCCAGGATGTCACTGCCCCAGTTTCCACTGGGAAAGTAAAAGACAAAACACCTCTTTAGGTCTGACTTCCTTCCACAAAAGAACAGTCGTTGTGACTCACCCCAGACACAACCAGTTGGCATTTGGGGTGTCCCACAACAGCAGAAATCACCCAACAGAGGGACCAGAGATAACGTTCAAGATCCAAGTGCAGATTCCTGGCACCTCGGAGTGATCCTGCCCAGGGCAGGGGCTGACCCACTGCTGCTGGGGCAGAGCATCTCCAGAACCTTCCTGTGGTAAATGGGCACCACTCCCCTGCTGTCCCAGTGCTCCTCATTCCCATTGCTCCTCATTCCCAGTGCTCCCCACTCCCAGTCCCTGCAGCTGCTCTGGGATCCGGAGCGTTTGACTCAGGGCTCGGACTTGGAAGTGAAACGGGGTGTTCTTACTTCCCAGATAAATTACAGCAGAGAATCAATGGATTTTTCCAGACCCTGAGGCACAGAGGAAGGTCGGTTACAGTAATTGCATTTGCATTGATTTATATTTGGATTCTGTTTGGGGTTTTTGCTGGGTTTCTAAAGGAAATGTTTTTAATGAGGTCAAAAATAATGGGAGAGCCGGTTTAAAATACGAACCCCAGGTATCCCAGAAACCTTAAGAGGGAAGAATCTCCCATTGGAGAAGGTGTGCTGCTCCCCACAGGACTCCAAGGCAGGAGTTACTGCATCCCTGCAGTGTGTGCACACCTGGAAACTCTGTGGAGGGGAAGAGAGATGAAAAACAATGAGATTTTCACATGTGCCTCTGGCTTAGCTGAGACTCTGCAAATATTTCCAAGGCTTGGTGAAAATTAGGACAATTTCACCTCCCTGTAAGTATTAACTGAGTTACCAGTTTGCTTTTCCAAATAATGTCTGCACTGGAATGAGACCTTTTCCAACTCATCCTTTATGGGAAACTCCCAAAAATTATGCTGAAATAGTTAGAACTATCTTTGGCACTGATTATGGCATTCTGGAATATTTTTCCCTGTCCTTGTTACTTAATTTAAAGACTGATTTTTGGTGAAATCACAAAAGTGAAATAGTAATTTCATTTGGCTTCAAGAGAAGATTTCCCAAAGAAGGAAATTTCTGCAGCTTTGAATCCAATCAGATCTGACAATCCAAATCCGTTTACAGGGGAAATTTCCTTTAAAAAAATAAATAAATCACTCTATACCTTCAGCTGAATCCGTGGCTGCCGGGGTTTAATTGCTTCTCCTTGTGGCCCTAAAGCCAGGGCAGCTTCAAAGCAAGGGTGGCTCCCATTAAACTTAATTACCCTTTCCTGCAGCTCCCATGGCAGAGGTGCCAACTGCTGCAGGGAGGTGGTTATGAACCAGGGGCACATTCCAGACAAAGACAGGGATTAATCAGCAGTTTGAAATGCAGGCAAGTGCCCTCTGTGCACAGGGATGTTCATACCCCAGACAAACACCAGCTCTGTGTCTGTTGTTTCCATCCTGCTTCCATTCCAGCAGGTTGGTGTTAATGTCAACCCTAATGCCACCTCAGCACCACCCCCATCCCCTCAATAGCTGTGAACATCCCCCCCAGTGTGTGCTCCACGTCCCACACACGCTGCTCTATTAATGCCAACAGGTGCCCTCGGCGCTCCAGGGGTTGTTCCAAACATCCCACCCCAGCTCCATTTCATCCTGGCTGGTGTGCACGTGGATGGGGCACAGGGAGGGGCTCCCCTGTGAACATGAGGCTGAGCATTAAAACAAGGGAATATTGACTGGGATGATTAAACTCGGACATGGGAATGCTCATCTGTTCCCTCAGATTGGTTCTGTCACACCTCACCTTAAAAAGGGCATGTGTGAATTAATTTGGGGACTGTAGGGTTTGCAATAAGGGAAATGGCTGTTGGTGTTTAGCTGGAGTGCAGTAAATTGAATTCACAGATGAGACAATGTGAGACATCAAAAACACCTCGTGCTCACCTCGTGCTCTGGCTCGTGCTGATGTGACAAGATCTCGTTCAGGAATGGAAAGATGGTTCATTTTCTGGGAGCTGTGGAGAGACACCAGAGGAACTGGGCTGAGACCAGCACATCCATCCCAAGAGCCAGCAGGTCCTGCACAGCTCCCTCCCGAGGGGCAGCTCTGATCCCTGCTCTCTGTGGCAGTGACAGGACCTGGGAATGGCCAGAGTTCTGTCAGGGCAGACTCAAAGCTGAGAGACACGTTGGAAATGTGGGAATAACGTAATTCCCACAACACTGCAAACACAAAGGAGCTCTGTCCCCCACTCAGCCCTTCAGCCTGTGGGGACAACCTGGGGATGTACCACAAGTGATCCTGGTACAGACCCAAACCCAGCTGATGCTTCCCAGTGAGACAGTGCCTGAAACCAGTTGGGCTTTCCCTGACTGGAGAAACAAACCCTGCTCCAAAGGATCCAGCCATGGAAGTGAGACAGGGCAGGTGGGAGAGGCAAGCAGGCAGGTCAGGCTGGGAGGAGAGGGAGACAGTGGGAAGGAGCTCAGGGGCTGGAGCAGTTCTGGGTGTAGGAAGCAATAATCACCATCACAGATGCTTAACTCTAACAGCTTGACAAGATCCCTTTCCTCACACTGGAGCTGTGTTTGATTGCTCCCATACACGTTTCCACCCCAAATCCCCATTTTGCAATGTCTTCCTGACACTCCAAACATCCACAGAGCTCTTTGAAGTCGAAGTTTAATGTGTTTATTGACACCAGTTATGATATTTCAAAACACATGGGCTACAAATTGTTACCATGCACTCCGAGTGTTTACAGTAATCCCTGTATTAAAACAAACTCAGCCTTTCCTGATGATTTTATATCTTCTTGCTGACTCACTTGCCTGTATTTATTTAAACTCCTGTTGAGTTTTTTTTTGTTTTTGTTTTTTTTTTTTACTATTCAACACTTTTGAAACATTTAAAAAAAAACCTCAACCCTATCTTCGGATTTCATGTACTTTTGAAACATTTTGCCTTCATTTTTATGGGCTTCACATGGCCCAAATCTTCCTTTTGAGTTTTCCTTGCAGCCCAGGTTTTCCCTGCTCCAGCCCAGCAGGTGTGTGTGAGGATCCCTGTCGGGGCTCAGCCCAGGGATGGGCAGCTCCAGGAGCTCAGCCCTCCCTGGCCACACGTTTCCCTCTGATCTCCACGTGCTGGAGATGGGTTTAAGCTGCAGCAAGAGGAGATTTTTGGAGTCCTAAAAGATATGGAGGAAGGGAAATTAAATTTGCAAAGTAATTCTGAAATGTAAATAAGGTTCCAATCGTTGTTCTTTTAAAGGAAACTTAAATTATTGTGTTGCTAAATTGGAGCAGCTTTGGGGGCTCTTCCGTGGTCTTCTGCTCTTCAGACTCACAAAGTCAAACCAGCATCTCCAGGGGTGGCTGGATTTAATAGTATCATCTAAAATGTAATAAACCCTGCAAGTGATGAACAACTGGGAAGGTGCAGGACCCACTGGGACTCAAATTTAATCCCAATGTTTTGGAATTCAGCATCTGAGAACTACTCAGAGCTCACATGTTATTTTCCATGCTGGAGAAAAGCAGATAAGATCTGTACCTAGGAAATGCTATAAACTGTGCCTAAACAAAAGTCTTGGTTGAAAAATTATATGTTTAAGGTAATAGTCTGGATTATTTGAAAACTAAGAGAAGTCCAGGGAAATACTTATATTTTTTAATTTTCTGAATGCTCTGAATCAGGTTAAACAATTTCACCAACCTGGGCTCCAATCACCACCCACAAATTAACCTTTCCTGGAAGAACAGAGGCCTTGTGACTGCACTCTGAAATAACTCTCCAGCTCTGTGCTGCTGCAGTGTCCAGCCCCTGAACCCCTGTAGCCTCCTCCCACATCACCTCCTGCATCTCCAGTGGGCAATTCCGGGCTGCACTGACCCCTCCCAGCACAAACACCAACATCTGGCACGGAAACTACAGCAGGACAGCACTTCTTGTCATCCTGCAAGGGCACCACCCCCTGCTCAGAGCACTCTGGGGTGAGTGGGTGGCACAAAACCCCAACATCTGCTCCCAGCTGGGAGAGCTGTGCCCGGTCACCCCCCGGCTCCAGGTCCGTGCAGGTGAGAGCCTCTGGCACAGAAATCAGAGCTGCTGGGAGTTTTGAGGCTGTACAGTGGTAAAAAGGGAAAGCAGGGCCCTCTCACCCTTGGCAGGCTGTTAGTTCAGCATTAAATGCTCCCTGAGCTGCTCTGGAATCTCATTGTTACTTTAAGGGCCAAGTGCCACCAGCTCCATGTCCGAGGGCTGCAGGACTCAGGCTGGGGAGCAAACTGCTAAAAGCTGGGTCTGAGGGATGGAAGTGACAAGTGGAAAGCATTCCCATGGATTGTGCAGGATCCCTGGAGCTGGGCCAGGGCCTCGGGTCAAACCCAGTCCCATGTCCCGGGAGCTGGTCCGGAACATCCTCTGGGTCCGGCCAAACCAACACCCCAGGAGCCCCCGGCCAAGGGCAGCTCCAGCTGGCACCCACAGGGCCAGTTTGGGAGGTTATGAAAAGTTTACTAATGAGAAACATTTCAGGACATGGTGCCAATGGTTTTGCCTGGAGGAAGAGCTGCAACGACACAAGAATATGTAACTTTGGTGGAAAGTCTGAAAGGGCTCCACGCCCCCAGAGCTGCCTCACTGTTATACATCCCAACAATTCTGGGCATCAAGAAGGTTGTCTGCCTGCTCTAAATATGTTTACATTGTGCTTTCTAAATATTTAAAGCCATTGATGAAATTAAAGGCAACTTTCAGGATGTTGTTGCTCCTCAGCTATTTCGTTTGGGTTTGCAGGACCAGCTCTTCTTCTGTAAACAGGAATTTGATACAGCAAAGGGCTGTGAGAGCCCTGAGCAGCCAGGGATCCTCAGCAAACAATTTTGGTGGCCAAGAGAAACCTCCTTAAATGATTTCACCAAATTCCTGTTGGGAAAGAATCAGCTGGTTTGATTTCTGAGGAGGAAGCACTTGCAAATTTGGTTTTCCCCCAGTGCAGACAGTCAGTGACCAGCTCGATCTCAAACAGCCCCTTGCATGCAGAAATCACCACCAAAACTTCACTGGCAGATGATAAAGCAGCAAATCCCAAGAGAAGCTCCCTCTCTGGTGGGTCTATGGGAGCAATTCCAGGCAGTGCTGCCAGGGCTCTGCACCCATCCTCACTGGGAGCCAATTTTGGGGGCACAGCAGTGTCTGTACCAGTGCTATCCATCACTGTGTTTACCATATTTCCCTTTTCTTTCCATAACTCCTGGCTTCACTCATGTCTGGGTGTTTTCTAACCAGCCTCAAGGCAATAAATCAAAGCTGTCAGCATTGGAAGAAAATTAATGTGAGAAGTTGTTCCAAAGGCCACCAGCCTTTCCCTCCTCGGTGTGTGCTCAGCTAATCCAGGATTCCTCAACAGCTTTCAATGTTTTCCTATTTTCACAAGGTTTTCAGACTCTGGGTGCATTTTTTTTTTTTTTTTTTTTTTTTTGAAGGGTGGCTTTGACTTGCAGCAGGTAAGAGGCCAAATCCCTGCAGCTTCTTTAGGTTTTAAGGAGAAGTGAGGGTGCTCAGCACAAACCTGACCCTGGGCCATCTCTGGCCAAGCCACAGGCAAAACCCAGATCCCGAGCTGGAAAACATCAGGGCCTGAATGTGGGTTGAACTTTTCACGAAGGAAAAGGCCAAATGATTAGAAACCAATCCCGTTGCTGTGCCCTGCTGATGACGCTGGTTGAATTATTCATTGGGAGTTATTTATCCCAGGAATGTGGCTGGCATGCCACAGGAATACATTACGTGCAAGTTTTGATTTCTTGTTTCATTACTCACTCTGCCCCGCGCCGCTCAAACCCCAACCTCTCCATTTCTGAAAGTCTCTTTTCCAAGTCTGAGAAAAAGAACACTTGGGACACAACCTTCAGCTGATCTGATCCAGCAAACACCTCCCTGGGAACAGCCAGCCTGGCAGCTCAGGCATTTTCCTGGAGCCCTGGAAAAAGCAATGTTCTTACCCTATTCAGCTGCAGATGAACTCTGTAACCCTGGGCAAATCACTTTGTTCCCTGCACCTCTGGCTGCACATTTATAAAATGGACATGGTATTTCTCTGTAAGATACTGTAAGGCCAGATATGTTAAATTGCCCAGTTACTATGGAAACCGGAAAAGCACCTAATGCAGATGGATGAGTGCAGGAACAGATCCCCCTGGCTGAAAAATCATGAGCAATTGGCAACTTCTTTAGGCAAAATCAGGGTGTAATCAGAAGGATCACGGTAGTCACCAAAAATTCCTTTAATAAAAAGTAACCAGGTTATGTCCTGATTTCAGCTGGGGTAGAATTAATTTATTCTCAGCTTATTAGATTTGTTTCTGGATAGAAACTGAAGGGTTTCCCTTGAATATTTGCAAACCCTCACATTCGATTCTTCTGTTTAGATTTGGATTGGGATGTTTAGGT